TGTAGCGGCAGACCCTTGAGGCGCGAGCTCGCATTCCTCATCCTCCTTCCACGTTCACTTCCTTTCTTCCCCTCTTCTTCATCGCCGCACTAGTTTAAAAACAAAAAAAAAAAACATCTTTGGCGTCGGAGAGGCGTGGGCCCTCACCGTGTCTTCCTCTCTTCTCCGTCACCAGTCTTCATCTGCCCCGGGACGCTGAAGGGCGTCGGCGACGCCACCTTCCTGTTCGAGGCCGAGCAGCAGGCGGGGTCGTGGTGCAAGGACCCGCTGCAGGCCGGCGACAAGGTCTTCTTCATGCCGTGGACGCCGTACCGCACCGACACCCTCCTGGAGTACGCCTCCCTGGAGGACTTCAAAAACGGGCGGCAGACGACCACCTACAAGCTGCCGCACCGCGTGGACGGGACGGGCTTCGTGGCCTACGACGGCGCCATCTTCTTCAACAAGGAGCGCACGCGCAACATCGTCAAGTTCGACCTGCGCACGCGCATCAAGAGCGGCGAGGCCATCGTCAACAACGCCAACTACCACGACACCTCGCCGTACCGCTGGGGCGGCAAGACGGACATCGACCTGGCGGTGGACGAGCGGGGCCTGTGGGTGATCTACGCCACGGAGCAGAACAACGGGCGCATCGTGGTGAGCCAGCTCAACCCCTACACGCTGCGCTTCGAGGCCACGTGGGACACGGCGTACGACAAGCGCTCGGCCTCCAACGCCTTCATGGTGTGCGGCGTGCTGCACGTGGTGCGCTCCACCTACGAGGAGAGCGAGAGCGAGGCCAGCCGGAGCCAGATCGACTACGTGTACAACACCAAGCTGAGCCAGGGCGAGTACGCCGACCTCCTGTTCCCCAACCAGCACCAGTACATCACCGCCGTGGATTACAACCCGCGGGACAACCAGCTGTACGTGTGGAATAACTTCTACATCCTGCGCTACGACCTCGACTTCGGCCCGCCGGACCCCGCCCAAGGTGAGACCCCCGCCGAGTCCTCGCCGCCGAGTCCTCTCCTCTGTTTTGTTTCTTCTCTCTCTAATCCGCCGGACGCAACTCGGGGCGTGGTGAGTGACGACGGGGCTTTAGGCGAGCGACAGCCCCCCCAGTGGGGGCGAGCGTCCCTTTACCTTCATCCCAATCCGTTATGAACACTCACATATTTATGGACACGTCTCGCATCATTGTGATGTAATGGTACTTACCGAGGTTATCGCATCGACTTGGGATCTCATATTGCGTTGCCATGGCGACCTTCAGGGGATAACGGCCATGCTATTGTGGCGTGATGTTTTAAAAAGCACCCGGCGTGCGTGTGTGCGTGTGTGTGTGCGTGAATGGCGTCGGGCCGCTCGGACCGTTTGAATGAATCTGTGAAGCGCTGAGAGGTGACGTACGTGTCATCAGACGGGGACCTTACATTAAGACGCTAATGGGGCGAATCACCTCATCCCGCCGTCTCCTGTGTGTGTGTGTGGGGGGGGCGGGATCTTGACTCAACGTCTAGTAACATTACAAGCTCAGGTTGCCCCCCCACCCCCACCCCCCTCCTGAGCACCGGTCTGGATTCAGTTATGATTTTCAACTTCTGGATATGCGGGAGGGGATTGCCCAAGGGGGGCGGGGGCAATCTGATTCTTGACCTGAGCCGTTACAGGGGGGCGTGTCGGGGGCGGGGTTATGTTGATGCCTCAATGGCGGCTGTGTGCTCCTGAACTCTGGCCCCTTGTCAACAAGTCTGTTTGTTTTCTTGCCGTTCCTCCCCGTCATGATAACTCGACACTCTGTGGGGGGGATCGGGGGGGGGGGGGTGCCGGGGCGTCCGATGTGATGAACAACCAAAGCGCCAATTAAGAGCCCGTTGGAGGACATCAAGTGAAACGCGTGTTCTAAATGGCCGTTTCTGTCCACGGATCCAATCAGAAGTGCGTCCCGGTCGGCGCGGGTCGTTAACTGTGTTTTATGGGATCACTCGGGGATGATGAAGACGGGGGGGGGGGGGCACCCGGCTTTGCGAACGACACTTGAAAATAATTGGTTCTTGTTTATTAGTTTTTTTTTTTTTTTCAGGTCTACACCTTTAACTTTACTGTGAAGCTATTTAGGATTTATCGCCGCCCGTGATGTGGCGTTGAATTAAACAACCCATTCTGCAGGGTAATCTAATGGTGCTGGAATAATGTCTCTCTCTCTCTCTCTGAACGTGAGGGGCACTCGAGGCGTAAAGGAAATAAATTGTGCCCATTAAGATTCATCGAGCGCTGAGTGAAGTTCCACCAAACCAGAGCATTTCTCCTCCGCGTGGAACTCGTGTGACGCCGTCAGCGCGTCCTTTTCCGTCAGAGGCGCCGACCTTGACTGTGGCGCCGGAGCCCGAGAGGTCGCCCGAGCGTCTGCAGCATGAGGGGCTTATGATAAGTGACCAAAGCAGCAAGTCGTCTGCTTCTGCCGTTACTGCAGGTAAAGGCAGGTCCCTCAGGTTGAAGTGATTAGATCCGTATTGATCCGTCTGTTTACTGTTACCAACAAACACATTTAAATCATCCGCCGCCGCCTGCAGAGGAATTAACTGAACTCGGCCCGGAGAACAAGAAGAAGAAACACGAACGCGGAGAGAAGGGAGGGGCCTTTAGAGACGAGAGGTGTCCTGAAGGCTTAGTGACCCCCCCCCCCCCCCCTAATGGGATGCACTGTATCCCAGGTGATGGATATTTATCTTCACTGCCGCTTTTATCCATTTATATTTTTACTTTCACTCCGCCATTTTGCCGGTGTCCCCGAGCGACGCCCCCAGGTGAGCCGAGGAGAGAGAGAGAGAGAGAGACGGGACCCTTATAGACGCACCGAGGCCCCCGGGCGCCGCTTCCGACCTCTGAGGCGGGATGTTTTTCGCCGGCTGGTGGAGGAAAAGAGAGTCTGGAGATTAGCTCTAATTGTCCCGCCGCGCGCCGAGCACGCGTCAACTGGCTCCGCGGCGGCGGCGGCGGCGGCTGCGGGGTCGTTGAGGTCACGGAGCTTTTGGAGCGCGTTCATCTTCCTGCCGGCGTGCGTGCGTGCGTCTTCGCCGTGAGCCGCCGTCGTCCTGAGGAGACGGAGGGAGATTAAACAGGCAGCGGAAGTGGAAGCAGAGGAAGACGTTGAGTCAGGGGCTGCAGATGGGCGTCCTTGCGTCCTCGCGTCCTCGCGGCGTTCCATGCCCGGGCCTACGCAGCAGAGCAGCCTGATGTAAAATTCATGTCCCGCGGGACTCGTTTCTCCGTCACTAATCACCGGCGCCGCCTCTAAAGCGGCTCGCTCACACAGTGTTAGTGAGTGGCGCCCCGAGTGCACCGCCAGGACATGTGACTTGTTTCACGTAACGCGGTTTATGGGTCGGTTTGAACAAACTACTCACTCATTGTCTCTCTGGGAGATGCACAACGATCCGGAGCCGCTTAGCTTAGCCTAGCGTAGCTTAGCATAGTGCCGGGAGGAGAGAGGATACAGCAGGCCTCTCTCTCTCTCTCCAATGAGCAGTTTGTAATTAAATCGTTGTCGTCATAAAGTAACGGCGACGATTCCAATTTTAATGCGGGCTCATTAATATACATTTTATTAAAGAAGATATTTCGCTGTTCACCGGCAAGCCGTTGAGAAATAAGTTAAACGGCTTTTACGATTCCACAAAATTCTCCCGTCAGCCACCAGCCGACACACAGGTGGGTGTCTTTTTTTTTTTTTCTTTCTTTCTCATTCGGATCAACGATAGAAAGTTTGCTCACCTCTTCACACGCCGGAGGGCCGCTGACTTCCAGGGGGCGGGCGAGCGGCGCCGCTGGCGCCCATTGATCCGTCTGCAGCCTTCAGCAGAAGTGGAGATGATTTGTAAAAAGGAGCCGGGCCTGTTCGATATTTCCTTTTGTCGGTTTGTCGCCGTGCTGCGAGGATTCGCCTCGTGAGGGATTCATCTCCCGAACTCAAGCCGCTTGATTTGCCTGCGAGTTGCTGTTGCTCTTCCCTGATGGCGGGGTATTAGGCGGCTCATGATCCGTCCATCGTGGCCTCTGCATGGACACGTAGATCATCTCTACTGCTAAAGGAAAAACACAACGCACATCTGCGATCATCTGATTATGGCGGCCTATTTATTGTCATCTCCCCCTGCAGATTCCTAAAGGAAGCTGGAGAGATGAGGGGGGGGGGCTATAAAGTGATAAGACTAATTCTAATTCTGCTTCACGTCCTGATTAATGATTTGCAACGACGGGCTTTGTCCTCTTCCTTTGGCTCGCCGTTAATTGACCGTCTGCTGACAGCCGTTTTCCAAGCGTTCCCTCTCAATCGCCTCCATTATTCACAAGAGGCATCGTTCAGCGCGCCGCCGGTGTCAGATGGCTTCACCGCTGCTTCAGAGGAACGCCGGCTAATTGGTGCGTCCCTCTCCCCGGCTGAGTGGACCACCAGAGGACACGCGGCTCCTTCTGGAGGGGGACGTCCTCCTCGCCATCAAAAGGGGGGGGGGGGGGGGGGGGCGCAGTGCAGAGACATCATTATAATCCCAGCAAAGCCGAGACTTCTGACGGGCACGTCGCTCGATGTAATATTAAATAAGTGTGTTGTTTATTGGACGTCGCGGACGCCCGTCGGCGTCCCGCTCTGGCGACCCGAGACGTGGCGGCTGCTGCAAAGAGGTCGGATCCCGTCTCTGATCTAAAGAGAGAACCTCGGTCGGATTAATGGCCGCGATGTGTGTCCTGATTCCGCCCGAGACGGTGACCAAGTGTCTGGTGGCATGAAACGATAAAAAAGAAAGAAGGATTATACAATATGCTAATAGAACATCTAATGTATTATTCATTAGCTTTTATCTCCACTGGATTTTGTGAGTGATTAAGGGATTAGAACGGCCACTTACTGTTATTTTCATTTTGATTTAATCGGCCAAATGTTTTTTCCCTGTCAATAGAATGATCGTTTGATCTCTAAAATGTCAGAAAATAGGGAAAAATGGCTTTTGCAATATAATAAAAAAAGAAGGTTGTATCTTCACAATGGCTTTCGATTGATTGGTGATCACACAACAGCCTGAAAACCCGACGATTAAATTTACCGTTCTTAATAACCCTCCAGTCATTAAGAGAAATAACTAGAGAACAATCGATGACTCCTGGTCCACGAAGCAGCATTTCACAAGAAAAGATATTCAGTGTTAGAGATTTTAAACCAGCTTTTATCTTAGTTTTTTCTGTTGCATTAAAGAACAACAGCCCCTGTGACAATGAATAAATTAGACAGTAATTTAATGAATAATAAAAACAGCAACACGGTTCCAACGCTACGGTTCTCCGCTCAACGTTTCGATCTTCTCTGAATCGATCTGATCAATAATGATGATATACGCTGAAAGGATTTGGGGAGACGACGATGGCTGATAAAGAAAAAGGGGAAGTGATGAAGTGTGGGAGGAAGAACACTTTGCACGTTGATCCGCCGATGGTGACCATCGGGGACGCTCGTTGGGGGGGGGGGGGGGGCCCGCTCCGGTATGACGAGCTTTAATGGGTTCAAACCCACTTACAGTCGCACCTCGTCCCACATATTGGATCAACGGAATGAGACCACATGTTTCCTCCCACACAAAGTGACACATTTCTATTCGCCTGCTTATTTTCTTCTTGCTTCCCGACCGTCTCGAGGCCCTTTTCTTGCTTTCCGGCACCTTCGTGGACGCCGTCTTACACAAACGCGCCGGCTCTTGGTGCTGCTGCCACGCCGACCTGTGAGTGTGCAGCCGACAGACGGGAAGTGTTAAAAGGTAATTAGCAGGGGGGGGGGGGGGGGGGGGCCCCGCCGGGGCCGGGGGGGCCGGGGGGGGTAAAAAAGGGCCACCCCCGCCAAAAACGGGGGGGGGGTTTAAAGTCCCCCCCCCGGATGGTTGAAGAGGGGGAAAAAGGGATTTTTGCCTTTTCTCCTCTTTTTTTTCTCGGAACGTGCCCTCGTGTGTCAGATGGGGGGGGGGGGGGTTTAGCTGCTGTTATCTGTAAATATCATCCCGGGGGGTTGTGGGTAAAAGACGCGTCCGCAGGCGCACTTTCCATCCTTCCTGCCTCACTGCGTCGTACGTACGTACGATATAAAGATTTCCTATTGCTGCTGTCTGGGGGGGGGGGGGGGCGGCGTTATTCTGATGGACGTCTTTGGCCCGGAGCCGTGCGGTTCTCCTTCCGCACAGCAGCTCCATCAAAGTGGGGGAGGCGACCCGGAGCAGGAGAAAAGTGAAATGCAGACGGCCTTTGTCTTCATCGTTGACATTTAATCATCCCAAGGTACCGGCTCTGCTGGGAGGGAATCACTGCTTTGTCAAAGGAGGCCCCCCCCCTACCCCCCCTCCGCCGCCGCTCGTCTTATTTATGGGCCAGAAATAGCCAGAGATGGATGCCACGCGCCGACGCGTTCGCCTCCGTTCTGTTTAGCGAAGTCACAGCAAAGAGGCGGCGTGGTGAGGACATTTCTAACGCCCCCCCCCCCCCTTCTCTCTCTCAGCGCCGACCAGCGAGGATCCCTCGCCCTCGTCGGCGGCGCCCAGGACCACGGCGCTCTCCACCGCGCCCGCCTCCACCGCCAAGGGCGACCCCACCGCCGCGGGCGCCGACCCCAGAGACGGGAGGGACCCGTTCGAGGACACGCGGGGCCCGGGCACGGCGGGGCCCACCGCCCCCGAGCTGCCGCCGCCGCCCCCGGCGCTTCTGCGAGGCGACCAGGAGGAGGGACATCGACTGGCCCCGGACCCACGCGGGCAGCGCCGTGGAGAGGCCCTGCCCCAAAGGGACCCGAGGTAGAACCACTTCCTGTCTGATGACTTAATGGCATCTGCTGTTTTTTTCCCGCTTGTGTTATTCGTTATTTTGAATTATCTTTTAATATTCGCCGCTGCTGCAACTCTGCAGAGGGCGAACGGGGTCAACGGGGATTTATTTTCTCGTCTTCCCCCAATACATTTGAAGCATTTCCAAGAGTCACCCCGAATCCCACGCAAAATCTGCGGAAATGGCCGTTTATTATTTGTCCTCATCTAGTCATTCGCCATATTTTCCTCCTGTGTATTTCAACTCGCAGGCCAATTTAAAATCTTTAACTCGGCATGATTAAAAGCTGCCACTTCCCCTTGGAAGTTGGCGACATTGCTCCTGTGTTTGTGTGGAGCGCCGAGGGAGGGAGGCGAAAAGCTGTCCGCGCCGACCGAGAGCCGTGCAGATGACGGACAACATCTGGGAGGTTTATAAAACAAAGACGCGCCGTTTTCGCCTGCTTCCATTGCCCGTTTTTTTTTCACAATTGCTTCTCACATGAGGACGAACCCACACAATCCCCTGAGCGCGTGAAGGTTGTCAGCGGCGAGGGACGCGCGACGCTGTTCCACCAGTTCAGTTGACAGCGACGGTGACGCCTCTAGTCACCTTAACACGTCGTCTCAGACTCCCGACAGAAGTGTCACCACACAAAGCCCGGCTATCGGGGGATGAAAGCAGAAAAGAGACTGTGGGGGTGAGAGGGGGGAGAGGGGGGGGGGCTCGGATTACATCCTGTGCGCTGTCGCCGTCTGCAGGGAAGTGGCGTTCATTAGTCAGCCATTTTTTCATTTTTTGGTGTTTGCAGAAAGCCCGACGCTTTAGGTTTGCATTGTGCGTTTCTATTTGTTTGTGACGGCTGCACAAAGCTCGCCGCCGTTGCCGTTGTTCGCAAGTGGTTGGTTCCTGCCGAGCGGTTTTAGTCTGTGTGGGGGAGGGAAGGGTGGTGGGGGTTCTGGCTTCTCACCAACTGTTGTGTTTGTGCTGTGGTCCTGCAGGCATCGCCTCCTTCCTCTGCAGCGCGGCGGGCAGCTGGTGCTCCAAAGGCCCGGACCTCAGCAACTGCACCTCCCACTGGGTGACTCAAGTGGCACAAAAGGTAAAGCGGGGAAACGTGTTGGTTACACAACGCAGGAGCACACACTCGCTCTATTTTTCCTTTGCCGGCAGAGATGTGGTCAAGGGTATATATCATTGAAACGGGTTGTTCTCTCCTCCCCAAAGTGTAGCTAGAATACGAGTGTGGGAGCAGAGAAGAAATGAGCCATCGGGATTAAATGCCGAGTCCTGCAGTCGTTGCAGAGAATCAAAGAGCCAGAGCTTCTCTCTCTGCAGCTTTGATGTTCTGCAGTGATGCAGGTAGAAATACCGCATCAACACGCAACGCATCCCGAGAAAGAGCTTTCTCTCCACGAGAGAAAAAAAAAATTTTGTCCGTCTTCGCTGTTGGGCTTTTTGCAAAGTTCACCTACGAAAGGAGCAGCTGTGCGTTCTGTGGCTGCTCACATGTGTTAGATATTAAAATCTGTTGTGAGCGGTGACGATAAAAGCCCCAGAATGATGTTGGAAAAACAAACGTTACGTTTGAGGGAAAAAAAAAAAAAAAAAAAGTGTTATTGCAAGTCAGGAATGTGCAATTATTATTCCACCAGGGTCGCGCCCGTATCCGACCCCGTAACGCGAGTCCAACGAGTCGCGGTCAGATGCGTTTATTCCTACACATCTTCCCATTAACCCGCGGTAGTCAGAAAGCGGCCCAGCCGGCCCGAGGCGACGTCTCCTACCGCGTTGAGTTTTATTCGGACGTAATTGCCGAGCGCGGCGGGTTTCGCTTCGCCGGCGCGAGTTTTTTTTTCGAGACTTCTGTCGCTCTTTCTGCACAACTCATAGATCACGCAGCTGTCGTGAATGTCTCCTATATCTGACTCAGAATTACACCTCGGGATCTGAATGGTACGCATGTCGCTCCCACTCAGTCACGCGTAATTATTGACTGCACGATGCGACGTCAGCGCAGCATCGCCGCTCTCTTTGTCGACTTTAATTGGCAGTGCAATTCCCAAGTCACATGTTGACGGACGCGCGTGTGCGTGCGTGCGATGCCTCGTACGAAATGAGAAAAGCAAATTGATTTTTTTTTTTTTGTACAATCGCAGAAAGGCGCCGCGCCGTGAAGATTACCATATGGCATGTGTTGTGTAACGTGAGTATGTAATGTGAACTTGGGTCACGAATCAAGTGAAGTGGGATGGGCTGGCTGCAAAAAGTAAATCCTTAATCTACAATCACGGCTGTGAAATCAGTGATTCCTGCTTAGTTGAACCCCCTCGTTGCCCGTTTCA